GGGAGATCGAGACATGATCAGGTGGAGTATGCCTACATGTACATACACTACACATGCACTCTACCATACACGGCATACATGCACATACATATGTCCCTGTACCCATGCCGTTCTAGAGTACTGGGGGCAGGCAAAGAGATGTATCCGTGGCCGCGGGTAATACAGGACGAAAAATGATATTAGGTGTGGACCTCTGCCAAAAGAGAGACCTAAGCAAGAAGTGCATTATACGATACTATAGTTTTTTTTACCTGCGTCGAGTAGTTGCCATTGTTTTGAGTCACGAGACCGGCGTGGTGGCGACAAACAGTCTAGAATTGCATGTAATCTTGCATGTAGCCTAGAGAGCACTTCCTGTACTCACGGAAACTACGGGTTGCGTAGAGATAGATGAAACATTGCTTCCGGCTAGTACGTAGCCTGTTTCAGTTGTGGTCAGATAGCAAGTGAGAATCCATGAAGCATGGACTAGCTCCAACGAACAAACAAGTCGCTATGGAACATTGCACCCTTATTTAGGCTGGTTAGCAATGGGCCGCTATATATTTTTGTGTACATGGGTACAAAGCGACTCTATTCCAACATCCCCATATGTTACATCCCCTTGATGGCCTCATCGCTCAGTTTTTGCCCACACCAGTTTCTGGACCTGTTGTGCACTGATGTAGGAGACTGTCCTTGCTTTTAATGCCGGCATACCCCTTGGTTTCACCACGGCCTTCCACAATTACTTCTAGAAACACGGTTAAACCTTCTGTCGTGTCAACGTGGAGATGATGCTGATTTCATGAATTCAAGAAGTTCGAATCCAGGTGGCTTGAAGCTATAATGAAAACAGTAACGACGCTCGCAGCTGTATACGTATATTGACTAGGTAGGGATACACCCCACCATGAAAGTCAAAATAATCATACAAGACAACAAACAAAAATAATGCATGCAATTAAACAAAAAAAATAAGAAAAAAAAATAAGAGCTTCATGAGTGATAACTTGTGCAGCACTTTATCTAAGATTACTTCCCTCAACTTAACGGGCACCGAATATATAATTCCCCTAATAGTTTAGGTGTTATAGGTACATACCATATCACATAATCCTCACCTCTAAGCAATCAGGAAAGAAACTCGTTAACTTTATTATGAATATATGTGAGTCTAGTGTGCACCATGATTTACAAATCATGGTTCAAAAAATCGATTTGCTGATTTGATTCAACTCTCACAATCAAATCATGGTTGCGATTTAACCCAGTGAAATTGATTATCAATCGATTCTAATCATACACCAAATCATGTATAGGTCTGAGATACCTTTCATGGAAGAAGCTAGTCTCAGGAAATATGTGGATCTCAACCCAGTAAAAGAGTCCTTCCAGTGCAGGGAGTATGATTTGGATTTGAATCGATTTCCTGCGATTAATAAGTCAAATCAAATTATGGTTTAACTTGAGGCGGGCAATTGATGATTGGATTGGACTTAGGGGTCCGAGTCGAATCAAATCGAATTATGGAGCACACTAGGTAAGTCAATATAGAATATGTTGATTTTGTAGTTATGAGACATTGCTAAATTGATTGTACCTAGGCGTGCATGTGCAGCACTAGAATCATGACCGCCTACATGTATGTAGGTGCAGGCGGGTTCTGGGCATTTGGTAAGATTTAGCGATATCTATGAGACTTTCATTATGCCGAAAGAAACTGGCAATAAGATTTGGCACATTCTCCCAGTCTCGGGATTCAGAGCGAGGGTAAAGATTGTATCGTGAACTACGTCCGGGGCAATGCCGTCGATAGGGTGTAATGATGTAGAGATATAGATAGTGCATCTGCATGTAGTCAGTACATGTAGTGTCTCATTCCGTAAATACGTTAGATATATATATGATATTCCTGCTTTCTCCATTCTATAATGTTTATCTACAGAATAAATAGGACATAGAGCTAGAGCGTTGACTCTCGATCTAGACCTGCAGGTGGCTTGGTTAATTGATATAACAGCGTATAATTGTAACACCCCGGACTGTATTGGTCTAAGTTATGTGCACCTACGCGGTTCCTCTCTAGTATAAATAGCCGTCATGTCGCATAGGTTTTTAGGTGGTTTCTGTGGATGTATTATTAACATCCTGAAACGTGATCTGTTTTACTCCAGTAACGCGCGCGAACCAAATTCACGATTTCCTTGATTTTGATATCTAGCCATGGTAGTTATGATTAATTTGTATTGAAGTAGTTGATTACACATAGATACTATGTACCATTGACGCCATCCGCTCAAGTTAGTTGATTCTTTACTAGATACATGTAGACACGCTCTTAAGTCTATAGCTACATGTAGTATAGATCAGTTACTAGGGCGAAATATCGATATTTGTACCACCAAGGATTGCCAAGCCATTCTAAACCTCAAAAAAGGAGTTTGTAATCGTGAGGGACCATAGAATTGGGCTGGTGGGAAAGAGTAGTTTCTACTGTTTTATTTTTTATTTTTTTATTTTTTTTTCATTTTAAGCGGGATGCTCTTGATGGGTTTGGTTGGGCTGCTTTTGTCTATATATTGTGGATCACTCATTGTGCATGATCCCTTCGTCTGGCGAAAAATTCTTTCCCCCAAAAAAGGAAGCAAATTTTGTAATAATAGATCTCACATACAAATCTAATTCCCGTATTATAGGGTGGGCAGCGTCGCCAGACTAAGGTAGCACTATTAGTGCTGCCGGAACACCATTGGAGCTCATCGGAGGGCAACACACCCGCATGGTCGTGGCGTGATCATTAAGTATCACTCGATATCAATATCCCCGACCATAGATACAGGGAAAGGGCGAATATTCTTTCGAAGATATGCCGTGAACTTGCATGCTGGCAATGATATTAATGGAATTAACGCCACTGAGACATTTCTTGGCGTCTACTAGAGTTTTAGGAAAGATCACCGAGGTTCCTTACTTTTGCGATCTGGATGATAAAAATAGACAATTTGAGTATCGGATCTACATGAAAGGTGTTATCGCGGTGGACCTCATGACCAGGAAAGAGTAGCTAGAAAAGGTTGAGATAGATATCGATCTTGTTCCTAAGCTACTTAAGCGCCCCCAAATAAAGCTCAACGTACTTCTGTTACTGCTCCAGACATATATACGGTTTCCCTGGCCACTCGGACACCCCCCTCACTCGGACAGTCAATGGTGATTGTTGGAGAAGAGGTACAGAAGCCACTTACAACGTTGATCTTCTCTTTCTACTAACTGTCCGAGTGAGGGGGGTGTCCGAGGGAAACCGTCTACACCACCTTTTCTTTTCAGAACAGCCACCATCAACTGATCCTGTAATAGAATCATAATGCCCAATCCACTATATGAAATCACTTCCCGCATTTTAGAATCTCATGGCTCGGTAAGACCTGCTCAGAATTAGGCAAACGAGGTATTCCGTGGATACACATGGCCATAATTGATGCCAAGACGCCGAGCCTTCACTGAACTCAAAGCAGGGCCCCTCCGTTTACAAATGTGCGAACGACTACAAATTTGGTTTGTAATTATAAAGAGTTGATGTGAGTGGGGAGGTACTAACCTGCAAGTGAGTTGAATATAAATGGTATTGTACTTATAAGTCACTTCGGGGCAAAAATGAATGAGTGAAATTTGTGTCTGTATTGATTAGTTAAGCAAATCCCCGGCGTAGACATAGCCTATCACTCGTTCTAAGCTATCACCTTCATGACATATCACGCGCACAAATTACTATTTTTTCTCCTAATCCGAGTTAATGTTAGAACTCGCGCATAAATGATCAATGTTGATATGTTGGTAGCTTCAGGCTTTCATGCTGTGGTCATTGTTATATTAGGCCTAAAAACCACTTTAATTACCCCAATCATATATGTATATAGGCACTTCTATCCATTCGTCTGTCGAAAAATGCTGCCGCGCGAAAGTTGGTGCCAAGAGAGTGGCCTTTGATCACAGATCTCTTTAGCTTTCTTATCAATTGGTATTTCACCAAAATTACGAGCCTCTATTATGCGGTGGGCACCATCGACAAACGAGGGGTGAACTATCAATTCTAACTAGTTGTGAACAATCTTACATGTCCGCTCTTGAATTTTCGACACTGCTTAGGCTTCTTTCGGAGGAATGCTTATAGCAACCACAATCCTCATCTTATGTGTATCTCACCTATCCAATGGCTAATAGTGAAGTACATGTAGTAATCTTTTTAATATTTTCAAGGAACGTTGTGGTATTGTTGCAATCCGAAGTGAAGAGATTACGAGCTAGATCCTTGTGGATGATTGTGGTTGTTGCAATAGAGAAAAATTAGGATTGCAAGAATCATGATTTCGGGGCTCTCCAAAAATTTCCAAATCATAATGTGCCCAGGATCATGATTTGGGCTTTGCAACTATGCTTTGGATAGCTTCCGAACGAAGCCGTAAATCTTATGTTATCTATACCAAGTGGAATGTGACAAATGCTGTTGTATCAAATACTCTAGGTTTACTGTCATTCCACGTTTCTCTAGTCCTATGGGGATTATATGGTGGTGGTTGGGGTTTTGGGGGGAGGGGAGGGTAGCGCCAAATCTATACCATATGTTGAAAAACATATAAGACTCTATATAATCTGTATCATGATATATCACTCGTTATCTTACAAGCCCTATTCACGGATGACGTGTTTAAATAAAATGGTGGGCAACAGCGCCCTATGAAAAATACGACCTCTATCCGAATTAAATCTTATTATCAGTGCTCGAGTTTGAATATAGTACAATCTAACATAGAGAGTCCTGGGCATGAAAATTTGAATGCGAATTGAAGTACCCTGAAGACATATATCTTGACCAGGGTACATCACACAACATACTCGCAGCAGGTAACAAGTACCCGAAAATGCACGTCCTAATCTGCAATTTCCATTGGAGTAGAAGTCAAAAATACACCAAAAACTTGCAGCTGCATATACGGGTACTTCATGCCTGTCGCGAGTACCTACCAATCATCCACAATATCGTCATCAGACAATATCAAGCTTTCGATCGTCACTGCGTCCAATTTTTCGGTAGCTCCCTCATCCTTCTGATTCCTACCATCGACAATTTCTTGATAGGAAGTCATAAGCCCCGTCCTTCCTTCTTCGGCAACTTCTAGTTCGTCCAGTGCTTCGCTTGGCTCTTCATCAGGCAAATCATCGCTTGGCCCACCGATGCCTTTCAAAACAGTAACCTTCTCTAAATCTCGCATGAGCGCCCCGCCTGATCTACCGGCCATCTCGAACAATTTCATGCCAAATGAACTCTTCTCGGCTGCTTTCCTTTGTTGTCCCCTCATAATCGCCTTGAGGTACGGTAATGTTTCCAAAACCAAATCTACTTTTCCAGTTCCGAGCACCCCATGGTTATCATATCCATCGAGTCGAAAAAGGTTATCAACAACTAGATCCACCACACCTTCAATTTCCTCCTTAGTTTTCCATAATTTGAGACTCGTAGGGTAAAATATTTTGTTGTCCTTAAAATCCCGTTTGACAGGTGATGGCAATGCCATAGTTAGGCCTCGAACTGCGACCTGGAAGGAGATGTCGTCCTGTCTTATCCCCGTGGTACCTATAAAGCCGCCAAATGCTTCATGGTTACCACCTGTATTCCATGTACCGAGATTCTTGTGATATGCTCGCGATGATGTTAAAATATCACTGTCACTTAAATCCCCTATGCAGTGGTTGACACAGTCGAGAAGATCTTCGAGAGAGTGGGTCTGTCGTGAAAAGCCGCCAAGAAAATTACAAGAGCCGAGATAGTTCTCGTGTAGGGCAGATATTAAAGTCTGAGGGTCGGTACCCGCTTCGTCTATTAAATTGTTGATGTCTACTCTACTGGCTCTGGAGTTGTATGGATGAATATTCAAAAATGGTTTTGGCGGAGGTGCGACATAGACATCCTCTGTGTCGTCCCCATATCCTAGCTAACCTATTAGCCTGGGGTCACGGATATAGATAACATTACAAATCCTTACTCTTATTGTGAACTACCTTCCCAACAGCATGAAAAATCCCAAAACTTGATTCTCTCTGAGTAACGCCCGTCAATATTCTTCGCTCAAGATCTGTGAGCCCACCATCCCCCAGCTTTTGTCTGCGCTTGGGCCTAAATGTCACCTCCTCAGAAAATGCACCTAATTCTCCATTTATTGCCAGGAATTCTAGGCTCATGATTGCACTTCTGACGTCTCCACTAGTTGCCAATGCCTCCATTAAGGGCTTGCTAGGTCGAAGCTTGCGTCCAGAGTCGCATGATTCTTGAGTTAATACGTGGGAGAGCGCTTTGAGCATAAATGTAGGAGCAATTTTGTTGAAGGCGATGGAGGTGACAAGCGGATGGCGAAGGATTTCGGGGGATAGTAGACGATGGGCAGTAAAGGCACCAGGTCCGGCAACGGTGGCACTTTCGGATATTACAAGTACCAAAGGTGGTAGTGCAGCATGCACTGGAACAGGGGCAGCAAGAAATGACTTGATCGAGTGCCTAAAGGAAGCCAAAGGTGCTTGAGAGGAGGTAAAAAGCGTGTTTGGAAAATCTTCAATTAATATGACCCTTTTGGTATCGCCATCAGGAAGCGATTGCTTTTCGGGTTCCGTTCCAGTTAAACTCGACGAGGTTGAAGCTAACTCCAGGCTTCCAAATTTTGATGCCCTTCCTACAAATTCCTCGAAAATACCTGCCAGTCCTATGCCGAATTCTCCCTCTTCTCGATAGCGAATGGCATTGCTAGGATTGCCCCATTCCAGCACTTTGAATCCCAACTCCTTTGATAAGGCGTTGATCGTGGCAGTCTTCCCAACACCCGCTGAGCCCTTCAGTACCAACAACCTCTGTCTAGAAAAGCCATCAAATACGTGGCTAAGCCATGATCGAACTTCAGAAACCTTCCTAGGATTTACAGCAAGATTATCGGCCGACTGTGGTGCAAAGCGTTCCGGCCAAGGACGAGGATCAATCGCTGCATCTTTACGATTAGCACCAGTACTGCTGATGGTAGAAGGGCTGCTCCACTAAGGGTATGAATACCAACAGTTTTGGCCTTGGCAACTTTAAGTGGGGTTATAGTCAGAGTTTTGCTATTTCTTAGTTCCCGAATGCTTCCTCTGCTAGCACTCGGGGCCTCCCTTTGTTGCTTAGACCGAAGACCTCCGGTGCCTATGGATGGCTCACGGCTGTGACTTTTGAAATTTGCTGATGTGAGTTGAATTCTCTGGACAGTGGTGACCCTACTCGACACTTCAGTGTCGCATACGTTGCCTAATGCTGTGTCGGTGTCAGAAAAACAATCCTCAATCAAGTCATTGAGATCCTCGTGTTGCGAGGATGGTAGTAATCTAGTCGGTAGATTTGATGAAGAGGACAACAGAGGTTGAGAATTGGGAAAATAAGATTGAAGAGGTTTAGTCTTCGCGGAGACATCCCTTGGAGGAGATTGTATTTGTTTAAGATTGGGGTTCTCAGAAGTCTTGTTGTTTATCGAGCTAGCTTGAGTTGATCTGGGCGTTTCTCGTTTGGACTGAGATGAGAACAGCGCGAGTCTACGATTCAAAACTTGAGAGGAACCATGAGCCGTATTGGGGACCGAGCGCGTTGTGCGGGATGCCGGAGGAGAAGATCTTCGTGGAGACTTCAGTGGCGGGGATGCATGCTCATCTTCAGAGGAGTCGATTACCAGCCGGCGTTTGCTAGGTAAGGAACGAGCCGGCATGCTGATAAGGACAGAGCTTGGGAGGGAAAGTTCAGGGCTCAAAATATCAGGAATGGATCGGTGAGTTACGATTGAAGGATTTGGGTTTGATATGTCATGTATGGTGAAGTAAGAGAAAAAGAGCTGCAAAGAAAGGGTGACCTTCCAGATGTAAGAATTGGGGTAAAACAGCAAGAGAGCTTAGTATGTACTGTTCTCAATACATCAGCAGTATCGGGGAGTGAAGGACTTGAAGTCCACGGAAGGGAGACGCGATGATGATACAGTCAGGTGACCAGGTATTCTCGCTAGCTCCTGTCACTTACGCTACTCGCCAAAAAATAAAGTCTGGCGGTGAAATAAGTACCGTTGCAACGCAGCCATTCGGCCAGGTACTTAATTCACCCCCAGACTTTATTTTTTGGCGAGTAGTTATTCATCTGATAGCAAGTGATCCGGGGGAGCAAAGAAAGGGAAAAAGCAAATATGGGTATCGATGGGACAAATGATTGAAAAATTAATTCTGGGCCCTCACCAAGGTTCTCTGAGCTTTAGGAAGATTTGGAGTTTGTCCGTTGTGTGGTTCTTCGGAATAAGGATTTGGCTGTGCGGGCGGTTTTGCAAGATCGACACCCATAGGAGAACGTATAGGTGCTGTAGTTATAACAATGTAGAAAATAAGGTATTGTGAACTCTTCTACCCATATCCAAAATGCCTCCTACCCAGCGCAGAGAGTACATCGCCGGTTTTACTCCACGAGAAATATACAAATTGTGTAAATTGAGAGAGAGATTTCCAACCTTAAAAGAATCGTTGTCTGCTCCTTTACAAGACTGCGCAAGACGGCCAGATGGCCGGCCCCTTGAGCATCCAGCATTTAGTACCATGTAAAGGGATAGGAAAAGAGGGTAAAAGAAGATACTCTAAATAGTTTGAGGAAACTTTGATATATTTAAGTGACATCGGTTGTTTACCTAACTATAAACATGATATTAGGCGCCTGGCTAAAAGGAAAAAAAAGAATCAAGGCCGGCCTAATATCCATTGTGGTCAGGGGGTTTGTTAACCAACTTTAAAGAGAGATTGAACATTGACCATTTGAAGAAACATGAAGAAGCTGGTCAAGTTGACGAATCAATGCTTCCAGTATACACAGAGAGTGTATCTGAGGAATTATAACATTTCGCGCTGTCTGACAGTACCTTAAAAGTGGTTTGGTTTATAACAAAGAACCAAAAAGTTCCAGTATTAAAAAGAAGTAAAGGAGATAAGTACATTACTTGAGGGTCAGAACTGGTATTTCTATAAGCCTATTTAAAGGATTATAACGTGGGTCTATGGGCAAGGAACTATGATGCCAAGGAATACAACCGAGGCAGGGATGTAGTAGAAGATGTTCGTGACTATGGACTATGGAACGGCTCTGTTTGATCTGACAACCAAACTGTACCCTATGACATAGCGTTGTAACGGGGACTATGGGCGTGGGAACTATGAAGCCAAGGAATACAACCGAGGCGAAGACGTGGACGTAGGAGGTTCGTGGACTATGGACTATGGACTATGGGGCCGAAGGGTACACCTAAGGCAAGAACGGGGACTGTGGACTATGGACTATGGATGGTTGTACCTGGTCTAGTATACCGGGTAAACCCTATGACGTAGCGCAAACCGAATAGTATTTGTAACTGTTGTAACGGGGGTCCTTTCTAAGAGAAATAGATTTGTATAGAATAGAGACGGCCATGCAAGATAGACAATCAGGTTGCAGATTATTCAAAGATACTATCGCTAGAACTCAATAATCTTTAAGGGCTCTGCTACCGATAAGAACTTGGTTTTTCTTTCTGATGAAGACTGGAGAGAACAGGACTGAAGGGCGAGAATGAACCTGAGTACTTATACTCCGAAGGCCTCTATTCTCTGCTCCTAACTCCTTTTCTAAGTTCCGGTGGGCCTTCCCTCAGTACCGGAAACAATACCACCGCTACCCCGCTTTTCTCTAAGCGTCAGCAGGTGTTTCCGATACCCAAGGCAACCACCCTTAGTCAAAGCCTTTGTAACACCTGCAGCCTTGGTTGCCACACAACCGAGGACCTGCATGAATGAGCTGCTGCTCAGGTGTAAGCTTAATCATTGCTGTAGAGCTCTCGCTTATTGTAGACTTCCCTAGCATAGTCCCTGCCCTTCGGCGGACTTACAATGCTCAGAGGATATAGAGGATCACCGGGCAATCAGAGCTTCACTCTGGCCGATCTTCTAGACACTGGCGAGACATAGACTCGTCAGTCATTGCTCCCATGAATAGATCCCCTTCCTAGCGCCCGGAATGTAGTTACTCTAACAGCTGGTAGCTAACCACACTGCCGGTACTTGCATATCACCGTGCAACTGGCTTCTAACAATAACTCTCAGCATGTAACCGGGCCCTGTGTGTACTCATACACCAGACAGTTGAAATGGCTCCGTTACACCACTCCCCTCTTCCAGGATCTTGGTCTCCGAGATCTATAACCATTCTATTACCATTCATTCTATATGACAAGAAACTCCATGATATGCAAGGAAATGAAAACCCAAGAGGGAATAATCTACACCCCAACAATCCGCTTGTCCTTGGGTTTCTTAGGATACCTCATATGGAAATCCCGAAGGGCTTCTTCAGCACTCTTCTTGAGATGCTCCCAAGGTTCCCATGTAGCATCCTCGTTTTCATAACCTTCCCACAGCACTAGGTATTCCACTCGTCTCCTTTTCTTATTGACCCGGCTATCGGCTATCTCTCGGACAACCCAGTTCTGTTCTCCTTCAATCTCTTCGGGCTCCGGTACAGGAACTCTTCTCTCAGGATCTACCGGTGCTCGGTAAGGTTCCAGAAGAGAGACATGAAAGACCGGGTGGATTCCCATTTGGGGGGGAAGAGAGAGCTTGTAGGCACGGGTACCAATAGCTTCTAAGACCTTAAAGGGTCCCATCTTCTTCTGATCCAGTTTTCCCAAAGGCCGCTTTGTTTGCACATTGCGCCGGTCCAACATAACTTCATCTCCGGGCTTGATTTCGGGCGGTGCCAGGGCATGAGCATCATACCACCGGGCCATCCTTAATCTAGCTTTACCCAAGCTGGCGTTCATAGCCTGCCAGATAGATTCCCATTGAGATGTCATGACCTCGCTCGCTGGATTGTTCCATTCTACTCCTTCCTTTGGGGCCGGCCAGTTGGTCCTGGGTTCATATCCATAGTTGGCATAAAAAGCCGATACTTTGGTAGACTCAGAGACCGCCGAGTTATATGCATACTCTGCCAAAGGCAAGAGTTCTGCCCAGTCATCCTGTTGATATGAACAATAACTCCGCAAGTAATGTTCCAGGGTCTGGTTAACTCTTTCTGTTTGACCGTCCGTTTGTGGGTGGAAGGATGTGGACATCTTTAGCTTCACATTGAGGAGACTCATGAGAGATTGCCAAAAGTGAGAAATAAACCTGCTATCTCTGTCCGAGACTATGTCATCAGGTAAACCATGTAGTCTCCAAACTTCCTTCAAGAACAACTTAGCCAAATCTTCCGTTTTATTGAGGGTAGGAAGAGGGATGTAGTGTGCCATCTTCGAAAAGCGGTCCACTATTACCCAGATCTTTGTAAACCCACTAGATTCCGGTAACCCCACAATGAAGTCCATAGAGATGGAAGTCCATGGCCGATAGGGTATCTCCAATGGTTGGAGCATACCAAACTTCTTATGTCTTGAGGTCTTATTCCTCTGGCAGCTGTCACAGCTCCGGACATATTCCTCAACATCCTTATCCATGTTGGGCCAAAAGAAGTTGTTTTTCACCCGCTCAAGTGTCTTAAATTGGCCAAAGTGACCAGCCACCTTAGAGTCATGGGTATCGGACAGTATTTCCATCTGAAGCTTCTTGTCTTTGGGTATATACCATCTATTCTTGTAGAAGATGAGACCGTTCTTGACCGACAAGTTCTGGTCCAAATTTGGTTTCCTTTCAACCAGGGAGCGGTGCAATTCCTGCCAGAAACTATCCTCTTTAGCAGCCGTGTATAGGCGCTCTAAGAATGTATTCTGCAACTGATTCACCCTGACAGCCGCTAGCTTTGCAGGATCCAAAACCAATTGACCTGGCCTAAAAAAGGTCTGTGGCTCTGGCTGCAGAGTTTCACCTCCCTCTCCAAGGCGGTGATCCCAGCGCCTAGATAGCACATCAGTCTTGCCATTCTTTTCTCCCGGTCTGTAGACAACTTTGAAATTGTAGCCTGCGAGGTCTTCAGACCATCTAGCTTGCCGCCTAGTGAGAACCTTGGTAGAATTAAAATACTCCAAGTTCTTGTGGTCTGTGAAAACCGTGATTTCTTGCTCACAAGATTTGAGCATGTGTTCCCATTCCCGGAAAGAGGCTACAATAGCTCCCATTTCCTTATCATGAATGTCATAGTTGATCTCAGCAGGGGAGAACTTCTTAGAATAGAATGCTACCGGATGTAGCTTCCCATCGTCCCCATACTGAGAGAGCACCGCTCCCTTGGCAAAATCACTGGCATCCGTCTCGACCACCGTTCTCCTACTAGGGTCAAAATGAAGGAGGATTGGAGCGCTTGTGAACAGCCTCTTGAGTTCTTCAAAGGCCTGCTCATGTGCTGCTGTCCAATACCATTTCTTGTCCTTTTGCAGGAGGTCAGTTAATGGTTTGCAAACTTTACTGAAGCCTTCAATAAAGCGGCGATAGAAGTTTGCAAATCCGAGGAATGCCTGTACTGCCTTGATATTCTCAGGAACCGGCCATTCCTTAACTGCCTCCACCTTGTCTTCTGACATAGATACTCCTTGTTCTGAGATATGATAGCCTAGGTACTCTACCTCTCGGACATGGAAGGATGTCTTACTGATCGAGGCACAGAGCTTAGCTTCCCTTAGCTTCTGTAAGACCTTCTTGACCAGTATCTCATGCTCCTTCTCAGTTTCCGAGTAGATGAGGATGTCGTCGATATAGACAACCACTCCTTCATCCA